GGTGCCCCGCGAACAGGTGGGCGTGCGGCTGCGGCCGCCGTGTGCCCCCCGCCCCGTCCCGTCCCGTCCCCGGTCACTCACCCGGGCGGGATGCGCGTCCTGCGGAGGGCGGCGGAAGTTTGCGGTGGAATAGCGCTGTTTTGCGTTTGGTTTGGGTTTGGGTTGTTGTTTTTTTCTTTCCCTCTCCTCTCCGGGGGGAAAAAAAACAAACTCGACCACCGAATCGAGCGATTCCCCCCCCCGCCCCTCCACCGCCCGGGGCTTCCCGCCGCGCTCAGCCGTGCGTCGGAGCGGCGGCGAGGTGAAGTTTCCACCGCGGTGGCGGAGGCTCCCCCGGCGTGCCGCGCCCGCCCCGCATTGGCACCGGGCGCCGGGGCGCTCCGTGCCGCCGCCGCCGCCCGGACAATGTGCGTGCGGGGGGAGCGCAGCGGAGCGGGAGCGCGCCCCGCCGGCGGCCGCGGCACACGCCCAGGCTGCCGGCCCCGCCCCGCCGCCACTCACGGCCGCCCGCCGGCCCTGATAGGCGGCCCCCGCCGCCACCGCCCTCCGGGTGGGCTGCGCCGCCCGTCAATCATCCACCACGGCCCGCCCACCCGCGGCCTGGCTGTGGGGCGGTGGCGCTGCGGCCGGCCGGCCTGTGGCGCTTGGGGCCTGTCGCCGACGCGCCGCCTGTGGGGGGCTCTGCGGGCGGCCCCGCGGGTGGGGCGCTCCGACTGCCACGGGGCTCCCCTGAGCCTCCTCTTCCCCTGACTGAACGCTCCCGGTTCCCTCAGCCGCTCCCCGTCAGACTTGTGCTCCTGATCCTTCTCGGTTTCGTTGCCCTTCTCTGGACGCGCTCCAGCGCCTCGATGTCTTTCTTGTAGCGAGGGGCCCCAGACTGAACGCGGGGCTCGAGGTGCGGCCCCACCAGTGCTGATCACCACAGTGCTCCTGCTGACTGCACTGTTGCTAATACATGCCCAAGCTTTGAGGCAGGACTGCAGAATATGGCTCCAAATAAAGTCTGTGCTCCTGGTACTGCAGAAATGCTGTTCGCTCTGATGCAATTCTCAACCACATCACCACTACTGATTGTTTCCATTAGAAAGGTATCTGCTAATCTGAAAATGGATCTAGAAGCCATTGTTCTAGATACTGCCGTTGACACAGTAAAAAGAAAGCTCATGCCCTGCAGAGCTCAGGGCTGGAACAGATGAAGCAAGCTGTGAGGACACCTGCTGAGAAGCCGTACAGGTTTTTTCAGGTCTCACAGACTGTTGCAGCAGCACAAACGAACCTGCTGGAGCACTTTCTATAAGCCGGAACACAAACAGACAGGTCCGAACAAAGAGGACGAAGCTTCAGCTTACCTTGAGAATATTTGCAGGCTTCTAACAAGACCTCCTGCTTCGGAACAACCTCTCTGTTCTCCACAAAGCCAAGAAGAGCGGCTTGCAGAAACACGGCATCTCTCCCATGCAAGCCAGCAGCAGCGGCACGCACAAAGGTGATGGGTCTCTTCACAGGCAGGCACACGTACACATGGCGCACCGCCTCTCTGCACTGCCTGTCTCATCTTGTCTTCGCCCTTCTGGTGAGCATGCAGGTACTGGAGCATACAGGGATCTTGCATTTTGCACCCTGCAAGCAAGTTGTTTCTCAGTACCTAAGTGGCCCAGGACTGATCAGGGAGCAAAAGACCCAAATAGGCAGGATAATAGATGAGTGTAGTAGACAAAGCTCTCAGAGAGCAGTGATGCACTGTCATAGGCTGCCCGGAGCAGCTGTGGATGCCCCGTTCCTGGAGGCGTCAAGGGCAGGATGGATGGCACCTGATCTGAGTGACAGCCCTGCCTATAGCACGGGGATTGGAACTGGGTGGGCTGTAAGGTCCTTTACAACCTCATGCATTCTATGACTCTATGAAAGCTATGGGCGAACCTCATGCTTCTTGGACTTCTCACTAGCCTACATGTAGCAGGACACATCAGAAGAAGGGACTGAAGCTGCCTCTTGCTCATTCTTCAGTGCTGTGATCACATTAGGACATAAGATACCTGAGGACTACTTGTTGGCAGGCTGCTGAAAGACAGTAGCAGAATCGTCTATTGGTGACTCATAACCATACATAGGGTTGATGACACAAACTTGTGAGGACACTGAGAGCGATATATCTTAAGTATGCCTGACACTACCACCCCCCCCCCCCCACCCCCCCAATCTCTTTTTTGATAAAAAAGACAAAGTTCTGGTATAAGTTGCTGCATCTTATGCATCTTTGCATCTCAGCAAAGTTGCTGCAGACAGCATAGCTCCATTGCTTTTGGCAGAGCTAGACGGATTTACACTTGCTGAGGATATAGCTCATTCTGTGCATAACGAATAATTCTTCCTGGTTACATACTTTTTTTTTTTTACTTTTTTTTTTCTTTTCTTTTCTTTTTTTTTTTTCTACAGGGGAATGCTTCTAGAAGAGAGAATCCTCTTATTTAAGTACAGGAGCAATGCCGCAGCAACAGCAGTGCAAATTGTACCACAGATAAGCTGGCAAGGTTGTTAATTCTGCTAACTAAACTCCCCCAGTTTGATATCTCCAGCAAACTCCTCTGCCCACCCACAGCTGCCCAGTGCAGCTCCTGTGCTCTATGGCAAACCTCTAGGGAGGTGCAGAGAAATACGTAGCTCTCTAGAAATGCTGCAGTGGTACTAACTATTGCAAGCCTTTCTTGTCAGGAAAGGAAGACCAGTCTAACTTTGAGCCCACTGACACACAGTGCAATAAAAAGGAAATGGGAAGAGCATCACAAGATTCTTACTGCCACACTAATGTTGTCAAAACCAAACCTGCAGTGGGGTTGAAGAGCTGCTCTGTCATTCCAGTGCCTCAGTTTTAACTCATCATCTTCACCAAACTGTAGCATGCATGTAGGAGGCCATAACTCACGGACTTCCTTCTCCCATCAATAATCATGTGACGTTTTAAAACAGCAGTCTAAATTCAGCCCTGGAAAGATATGTTACTGATTTCTGTAAGTGCTGCGACCCCCCCAAAAAATAATTCCTTGATGTTGTCATTTCCTCTTCAATCTCTGCAAGAAGGAGGCTAATGTGACATGAAAACATGCAAACACAAGTTTGTAAAATTGAAACTTAATGCCACACACTTAAACAACTGAACTCGCTCATCAGGTCAAGGCTATCCCCAAGAGTTTTGAGATGTTAATCTTTTTTAGAGGTTTCTCTAGTAAGACCACCCAGGTTATTGCCAGCTTGAACTCAACTCTCTTTTGCCCTTTAAAAAAAAAAAATAAAATAAAATAAAAAATAATTAAAAAAAAAACATGAAAACTTCTTGTGATCATCAATATCACCAGCAAAGCAAACAACTGCACTTTCGTAGCTTCACAGGGATATCTGAATACATCCAAATTTTGCTCTCAGCAAAAATATCTACACGAAGGCCAGCTGAAGGGTATAAGTTCTCAGTAGGCAGAGGGCAGATGAGGGGTGTCAGGTTCCTTTGGCTGTTTTCCTGCATCTTTTGTTCCTTTGCCATATCCACAATCTCACCTAGCTTTGTCCTAGTTATGTAGAGTACTTCCTGGTTCCTTCTGTGCCTTTTGTGTTGTCTCTGTGTTCACATAGCCTGTTGGTCTGTTTTTCTGGATGCATTTTCTTTCTCTCTGTAATTGAAACTTTCTTGAAGTGTTCAGAAGGAAGATTGTATCAGTGTGCTCTCCATATCATTATCTCTGAGAGCGTGCTGAGAAAAGCAGAGATTCTGACGTGCTTTCCCACAGCACCATATTCTTCATGATTATTTAATTTATTCCTTCTGCAGACACACCAGGCTCAATAAGCCTTCAGGTACTTCTGTGCTGGGATGTAGTTCTTGCTCATCTCTTCTGGAGCTTCAGGGATAAGTAGTGTCAAGGCAGAAAGAAAACTGATACGTGACAGAATTTGAAAATTTTGGGTTTTCTAGAGGGTGCAAATTGTTTCCTTTTAGAGCCTGATAGTGTAACACAAGTAACTTGCCATGGCAGCCTGCTTACGAGACAGAAAAAGGTGAGAACCACCAGGTGCTTTGTTACTGTAGCAAGGGAAGAGGCAGAGACCTTATCGTTTTTGGTCACTAATGAGCTGCACACCATCTAGTAAGTTGTCAGCAGAAGTTCATGTTGTATTTGATGCAAGCTGGCTGATGTGTGAGCCTCTTTGATACTTGGATCAAAACTGAAGTGCGGTCAGAAAGAAAGAAGGAAGTGCTCAGAAGAATTGAAACAAAGCTGGATTCTCAGAAGCACAAGGCCTAATCCATATCCGCAACAAGCTGACGCAACTCTGCAGATGCCAGTAAGTGACAAACCTTTTTCTACAGAAATTAATTTGGCTTCCACTCTCTGGCAGTCTCGGTTCTTTTCCCAATTTCTTTCAAGAAAACTCAGCTCTGCAGATCTGGAAGTATTCTGAAGTTATCTGGGACAGAAGATGGCATAGGCTAGTGGAGTCTGTGTTCACATCCGTTCTCTTTACAGAGATGCTTCTGGGAAGGGCAGACTTCCTGGCAGCTTACTTGTATTAGTGAGAGAACTGAGAAAAGGCAAAGTGAAGTGGTTAAGGACAGTGAGGGGAAACCCTCCTTGGTGTCACTGTGCAAGGAGAACAAAAC